CCTTATGTTTGCTAGCCCTCAGTACCTCCTGACTTTATTGCACTAACTGAAGAAATTGCTTTTCTGAAATGTTATTTGTGGATATCAAGAATTGAAAGTACTTTGTCCCATACTGATGGCCCTGTAGAGGCCATGAGTCAGGGAAATAAGAGGCTGAGTCTCAGCTAAACCTCTGGCTAAAACTGATCCAAATGGTATTTTGCATTTTGAGATAATGGAAAAGTTTTGTGAGTATGTTGGTTTTGCAACCACTCTCTTGGACCCCCATGTAATTCCCACTGTAATGGGAATGACAGTGCCCACGTGCTACCCATGTCAGTGGTGTCCACTGGCATAGAGCAGGACATGGTATCCACCAGCCTGTCCTGAGGTCCCTGCTGAAAGAGCCTCAGGCAGCTGCTTTGTGTTTTGCTTCATTGTGTTTTACCTCAGCACTAATTCCACTATTCTACTTTTGATTTGTCTCTAGGTTTGCATGTATACATACAGACTTTAAGCTCCTTATTTCTGTCATTTTTTGGCAAGATCTACATTTTGTTCCTATGGTGTAATGCCTGAACATTGTTTGATAGCTGAGCTTGTCTAGAAAGGTTTTCTAGTTTTCAAGTTGTTTTTTTGTAGAGAAGCTGATGTGGCTCTGATTCCTGACAGAGAGGTTTTCAGCATGCTAGCCTTCAGGGGAATGATGATGCTGTGAGGAGAGGAGTAGGTCTGGTTCCAGCAGAAGGCTTGGGTTGGAGAGAAGGGAACAGAGAAAGAAGACAAAAGAATTCTGAAGCTGGAAAGATCTCGTTTCCACAGACAGTGTAACAAGCCATACTCCATGTGATCTCACAGGCCTGCTTCGGGGGCAGCAGTGCTTGCAGTACCGATCTCCTGTGTAAGAGGCAGGTGGCATTTCAGCACCCTGTGGGTACTCCCTGGCTCCTTTCCAAAAGAGAGGTTCTGAAACAGGACCCTCATTTGCTGCTGACCATTTTCCCAGTCACCATCTCTTTACTGTTGGGTCTAGAGGAAAGCCTTAATCACATAAAATTCTGAAAATGTCAACTAATAGCTTTCCTGGTTTCTCCCAACCCACCCCAAGTTGTTCTGGATCTAAAGTGATCTTTCTGAAATACAAGAGGAAAGTAAAGCATCTGACTAGATGACCTCTGTCCCTGTTAGGTAGAAAATGGTTTTTCAGAAATTCCTGTACTGGATACACATCCAGCTTATGCATTTTAGCCTAATATTTAAGCAAAAACCTATCTTAGCTGAATGTTTTTAAAAATAATGGAATGGAAAGTCCGAGAGATCAAGTACCAGACACGCTGCTGATCCTGCTACCTTTAAAATTGTTTGTCTTTCTCATTACCTATAGTGTAGCATTATTAGAGTAGCGTGAATCCTGCTGTGACCATCTTTCTAATTCCTAAGCTGGCATTTCAAGGCCAGGAGAGAGGTGAGCTTTTGTCCTTCAGAGGTAAACCTGTGAATGCTGGGTCTAGACAACTGGAAAGGGACGTGAGTGTGGGGATACATGGGCTGCTTTAAAATGAATGGATTTATTACACAATTCTCCTGCTAGTTTGGGCACATGTGCCTTTATCTAATACTGTTCTCTCTCTCTCTCTGTATATATATGTGTGTATGTATCTATTAGTGGGAAAATGTTTATCTTCTGCATACTGTTTAGAATTTCTCAGTCATACAGAAGTACTTAAGATTAAGACCTTAATATTTAATAAGCTCTCAATTGTTAGAGAGCAGTGAGCCTGCCAGTGTGAGATTGGGCTGGCAGCTCAGTGGATTAATGGAAACATAGAGTTCGATTTAAAAGCCCTGAATGATAATCTTTAAATATGCTTAGGTATTGTGGTTGTGCAGTTTCCCTGGGGAATCATCATACCCTCTGCTTCAAAAATTTCACTGAAGACCTAACTGAAACTACAGCTCAACTTTGCCTCCTGGGAAATCTACTTTCATTCCTGGGGTTTATATTCCTTCTGTGTACATCTGTACACCCAGAGTGTGATTCCTTGTGGGTATTCACTTATATTTTTGCTGCAGGAACAGTTTTACACAGACCTGAAGAACAAAAATTGCAGAGTTGAGCAACTTTCCTACCTGAACAGAGATCTTCCTTAGGCTTTCAAACAAGCAAAAGCTGCTGTTTGAAAATACTGAAGTGAAAATTACATGGATGCTTGTGATATGTGATCTCAATAAGGTAGACAGAGGAAATAGGTTTTTATTTAAACTCCTGTATGTGAAATTCTCTGGTGCTTTGGGTTCCTGTAACCCATTTCAATGGTACTTCATTCTCTGATAGAGATCTGTGTAGTCCCACTGCAGTGATAGTGTAGACACAATGTGGTGCATTCTGGGATGTCCTCAGACAGATTGAAAGCTTGAGAATTATAGGAGATTGCTTTTTCTCATTTTTATAAGAACTTGCCAGTCTGAAAGGTGTCTAGACTTTGAGTTGCTTTAGTTGTGTATACATTTCTGGGGATTATCTCAATTTCAATTTAATTTGCCATTTCACTTCATGCTATAAAGCTTTCAGGGGCTCTTTCATTTCAGTGAGAGCTCACTAAATTAAAATGAAAATGAAATAAGCTTGCATCATCAGCACTGAGAGTGGCAGTTTTATCCTGAATTTCTCTTAATACTTCACCAGAGCTGCTTGTGCACATAAGGCACCAGGGTACTCAGTTGTTAGCACTAGATCTGACTGTGTAGCTGAACACCTTTGTGTTCTGTGTAGTTGCACTGATACTAAGAAATCTTTTTCAGTTGCAGGATACTGTGCTCCATTGTAACAGTGACAGAACAGCTGTGACAGATCACCTGTGACGAAGAAACCTGAGTTCTTTTAAACCATAGAATGGTTTGGTTTGGAAAAGACCTTAAAGATTATCTAGTTCCAACCCCTTGGCCATGAGCTGGGGACACCTTCCTCTAGCTCAGGTTGCTCACAGTCTGATTCAGCCTGGCCTTCCAGGAATGGGGCATCCATTAACTCTGCTGAGCAATATGTTCCAGTGCCTCACCACCCTCATGGTCAAAATCTTGTTTCTAATACCCGTTTCTTCTCCAGCCTGAAAATCCCAATTCTCTCAGCCTCATCCTCATAGGAGAAGTGCTCCATCCCTCTGAGCATCTTTGTAGCCTCCTCTGGACCCTCTCCAGCAGTTCCATGTCCTTTTTATGTCAGGAGCCCCAGAGCTGGATGCAGTATTGCAGGTGGGCTCTCACTAGTGAGGAGTAGAGAGAATCAGCCGTCTCGACCTGCTGACTACCCTGCTTTTCTTTCTGGGATACAAGAGTACATGGCCAGGTCCTGTCCAGCTTCTTGTCAACAGCACTGAATGCCTTCTCCTCAAGGCTGGTCTCACTCCTGTATTTGTATTTGTATTTATTTGTATTTGTGTTTTCCCAGCCTGTCAGGATTCGTGCCCAGCTTGTCCAGATTTCCCTAACTCAGGTGCAGGACGCTGTGGTTAGCTTTGTTGAGCTCCCTGAGGTTCCCATGGGCCCATGTCTCCAGCCTGTCCAGGCCCCTCAGGATGGAATCCCTTCTCTCCAGTGTGCTGCCTGCACCTCACAGCTTGGTGTTGTCTGCAGACTTTGCTGAGGTTGACTTGATCCCACTGCCCAAGTTGCTGAGAAAGATGTTGAACAGCGCTGGTCCCAGCAGTCCTCATGGACACCCAAGGAACACCACACTTCACTGATCTTCTCTTGGACTTGGAGAGTGACCATCCAGCTGGCTGCTTATCCACTGAGTGGTCATCCATCAAATCATTGTCTCTGCAGTTTAGAGACAAGGCTGTTGTGCAGGACAGTGTCAAGCTTTGTACAAGTCCAGGTAGGTTATATCAGTCACTCTTCCCTTATCCACCTCTGTAAGGCCATCAGAGAATGCCACCGGATTTATCAGGCATGATTTTCCCTTAGTGAAGCCATGTTGGCTGACCCCAGACATATCCTTATTTTCTATGTGCCTTAGCATATTCTCCAGGAGGATCTGCCCCATGATTTTGCTGAGCAGTGAGGTGAGACTGATGGGCCTGTAGTTCTCCAGGTATCCCACTTTTCCCTTTATAAAAATGGGGGTAATGTTCCCCCTTTTCCAGTCAGTGGGAACTTTACTGCACTGCTATATATCTCAAATATGATGGATTGTGGCTCAGCTCCTTAATCCAACAGCTCCCTCAGGACCTGCAGATGTATCTCATCATCCTCAGCATTTTTCAATAATGTTTAAATTACATATAAATTCAACACCACTGCTCCCTGGATTGAACTCCTGCTAGGCTGGAAGAACTGAAATTTGGAGGATATAAGAGAAATCAGTGTCTGTACCCTTTATAGCTGTTCATCATCTGAGTATTCCTGTGTCCTTCATTACCTTGGTGAACCTGCTGCACCTAGGAGGGGAATAGATGGGATTGCAGTCTGAAGAGAACAGGAAAGCAGTTGGAACAGGACACAGGGCAGGTTCTGAACGGGCTCACCACACATTTCATGGGATATTGTTCTATCTTTGTACCTTACACTGGGGAAACTGAGTCTGCTCAGGTCTCTTGTCCATTTACAATCTCTTAACCTTCATTTATGGTTTTTTTTTCTTACCTGTCAATTTTTATTTTCCCTTTTCTTCCTTACCTTTCCTGATGCAGATATTTGGATAAACTGGAGTCCTGTGCCACCCATAGCAAAGATTGCTTGCATTGGAATATTCTGGTTTGGAGAAGAACATAAGCACATAGATTTTTTTTAAATGTACATTAACTCTTGATTCCATCAGGAACAAGACAGTGTGATCTGCAGCAAGCTTTTAATCGTGCCAGTTTTTCCTGTGATAATTCTTCTTTGAAACCTGTGAGCACTTATTTCAAAGGACCTTTTGATAATGAAGATGTTTTGTGTTAGGGTAACCAGCTGTGGTGCACAGTCAGGAATAAGGAGGTGTTTAATAGGGAAGAACTTCAATGCACGGACTTCACAGGCAGATTTAAAACTTCAATTTTTATTAGCACCAAATATCAAGCAAGTTCCATGACAACAAGCTGTACTTCCAAGCTGGTGAATTACTTTGTTTAGGGAGAGTGAGTTAGTAATTATATGACACATCAATTCAGTCTATGTACTCTCTTGTGTCTGCATTTGCAAATCCATAATTCCTTCTGTTGTGCACAGGTCCGAGTTCACAATTCCTGTCCTTCCCCCAAAAGCAGGAATGTTTTTAATCATGCGGTTTCGAGGCAACTCTGCCCTTGAGAGACCATAACTCAGCTGCTCAGCAGAATAGTCAAAGCACCTCTGGCTTCTAGGGGGATATATTACTGTTTCTAACATATTTGTGTGTCCAGTTCCTACAGCTGAGCTTACAGCATGAAGGATTTACCCCAAGAGCTTGACTTGCACTTCCATACAGCCTCCCTGTTCAACTAATGCCAGCTTGGCTTTCAAATGAAATTAACACAGGGGGCCATCGGTGGGGAGGGAGAGAGGCTGTGTGGTAGTCTGAGATTATAACAAAGCTTTTGGTGACTTTGACTGTGATTGGATTATAAAGTGAGAGGTGGGGTTCCAAAAAAGCATTAGAATCAGCACCATACAGCAGAGCTCTTTTCCTGGAGTACTTACAAATGCTTCATCCTAATTGAGTTTGCAAACAGCTCTAACTCCCTTCAGGGAGGGAGAGGGTTTGTTCCTTGAGAAATGACAGCCTGAAAATGAGAGTACTGAGAATTACATAAACACACTTTCACACTTTTTCTTTTGTTTTTCAATAGAAGTTACCTTGGACAGTTTGCCTGCCACAGTACAAACTGGGGGGATGCATATGCTCCCCCAGTCACCTTAAGAGTGTGTGGGAGCATTACAAAAGAACAAGAAATGCATTATTTCTAAGATGAGGCGCTTTTTTTTTTACCTCAATATCCTGGGTTCTTATTATTCAAGTTGAGATATAATATCAGAATCCGTTAATTGCATCTGTGGCTGATACAATAACACTGAGTAAGTTTCCAAGGTAAACTGGGTTAAAAAAAATGGAAAAAGAATCCCTGCAGCATTAGTCTGTGTGGAGCATGCTAAACAGCCAGTGACAGTTCTGCTTGATAACAGTGCTTGCCTAGCCATTTGCAGGCTTGCATCAAGAAACTGAATTAAGAGCAACTCAGATTCAGTTACTACATGGGTCCAGAACCAGGCTGCTTGAATTAGTCACAGCACTTATTCTGCTCTGTTCTGTAGAGACACTGGCCTCCTAAATCATTATCAAACCTGAATTTCGTAAAGCCACATAACATGTCTTCCCACTGGGCACTAAAATTTAAACAAAGGACTGAATCCCCTCCACATTGGACAGACTGTGACTGACCACGTATTTTTGTGTGCAGAACAGCAGATTTAAATGGTAGAGGTGGAAAGGCTAGAGCAGTGATGGACTTAAGCTTTAGGGCCAAAGCAGGGCATTTGTGGAGGAGGGAGATGACGAGGTGCCTCCAAATAGACTTTGAGAAACCAGTTCCTGAAATCCCTGTGTTTCTCCAGTAATTTTTAGTTAATCTTCAGGATGAATGCTTTACAGCTGAAACTCTTGTCACTGTCCGTATGAGACAGACACATAAGCAATATACATTAACAGTTGGGAGTTTTTTATGCTGTACTTTGCTTTCTATAGATTTTTTTTTTCTATGTATCTAACAGTTACATGTTTTATTTTGTTGCCTGTGATTTGAACTATACCCAGTAATAGCAGTGCCATGGGAATATAAGGGGAAGTTTATAGTGGATAATTATCCCATCCTTTAAAAATATTCTTTAATTGAAAGTACAGGGAAGTCTCTGTTAAGTAGTTCAGTAGTAACAAAATGTTCTGCTCTGCCTAAATGATTTCTGTGTAAAAGATACCAGGGACTTGTTCGAGAAATCAGTTCAACTGATCAGCTATTTCTTCATTAGAAACCCTCATCCTAAGATACAGAACTTCTGTTTAGCTATCTAACATGCACTGGTGTTGATTTGGTACTGAATGTTTTCTGGATGTTGGAGGGAGGAATGTAAACTGAGCTCTTCTTGCAGGTCAACAAACCCCAGGATTTCTAGTGAACAGACAGTATTTCCACGGGGAAACAGTTTATTGCAGGGGGAGACAAGGAAGCAGGGCCTAGGGTAAAGTGACCTACCATAGGCAACTAATGGGATTTCAGAAAAACAGCCTTTCAAATGGCATTTGCTAGGTGAGTTATTAATGACAGACTTCTTATTTGTTTGGGGTTCTTAGCATGGTAAGATAAGAAACATAAGGCTCTGTTTTACACTTTCGATGTGTCAGGACAAAACTTTGGATGAAGCTTCATAAGCTGCCCTTAAATCTCTTTGAAAATTATCGCCATGCAGACAGAAAGTACTTTGTTTTACACAGCCAGAATAATCAGCTAGGCCTGGTATTTCCAGGTTGTGTCAAGTGTACTTTGGAAAAATAGCAGGATGTCAGGTGAAATACTCATCTAGATGTTGATTAAAGGAGGAATAGCTCTGTCTGTGCTAACATGTAGTACAAAAGCAGACAGCTGGGATAGCTACTGGGGGAAGGTACACTGGGCTTAGTTGTTTGAAACAATGGGATCTTGAAAAATCAATACAGTACTCAATTACCCAGGGCTAAGCTCTAGTGGAAAGGCAAATTAAGCTGTAAAGCTAATACTGCTGCTCTGAGCCCTTATATTTCTGTAAGCATCATTAAGTTATTGTTCCTAAAGTATAGAACCAATGGTGAGTAAATGAAATTGAAAGGCAACATGTTAAAATCCATAAAGGAAGGATTCTTTTAAATGCAGCTTGAAGAAATTGTGAAATTCACTGCTATACTGCAAGACTAAAGTGTAAAGTTTCACAGTCAGAAAGGGATTAAAGATTGATGTGGTTGATGAGACCATCTAGTGGTGCACTTAATGGGATGAAGACAATTCAAGTAATGTAAATCTCTCTTAAACTGAGGGAGCTGTAAGAAACTTCCACCAAAAGTGTGGGTTATCCCTTACGATGCCTCCTGCAACAACCTCTAAAAGCTCTGTGTCTCTATTTTTCCCATTACAATTTCAACAGTACACCTGTGCTGTTGTTCAGAATGCAGTTTAGAGGCAATTTCACTTGTGAAGCTGTTTGACCTGTAGGGTACAACAAATTGTATAAAAAAAGGCAGTGTTAGACATGATTGCATATAACATACTTGGCTAACCAGACATTCTTCTGATCTAACACAATACAAGTTCCCAGTCGTTCAATTTAAAAACATTCTGGTGTTAATTTTTCAAGTTTTTCTATGTAATTTTAGAATGTAAGCAGCTACCTCAGAAAAAAAGAGAAGTCCTTTATTTCAAAGTTATCAGTAACAGACAAGTTGTGAGCACAAAATAATTTGGTTTGGGTCTGAGTATTTTTTTAACATTAAGCCTGATCTCCCAGTCGTTTCTGAATTGTTATTGACTGCCACATAATTTCATGTTGTGCCCGCCCTTAAGAGGAAAGAGGGGTGTAAATTTACCTGGGAGTAGGTAAGCCACTTAAATAATAATAATAATAAACCCAAATTTGTAGGGAAGGATATGTCAAATCAAAGGTAATGAAAAATGACAAAGAAGTAGAACATGGTAGGGGTTTGTTAAATTGCATACAGTGTGTGTGTGTGTGTGCACTTGCACACACTCGCACACACATCTTTGGGTGTGTATAGAATCACTGTTTAGCTTGTAGTGCAGTTGCTTATAAAGAATACAAAAGACATTCTGTTGTAAACTTTAAAGAATATTTAATAACTTTTAAAAAATAAAATGTATATTTTAAATTTTGTTCTTAATATGAATGCACAAAAATGTACCATTGTAATTGCAGCAACAAAATCCAAAGAACAGAGGAGACCTGCCCACTGTGGTAGGGTACCAGTGACAAGGGAGGAGAATTCACAATGGAATCCAAACAAGGTTTCCCATGGCAAGTCCCAGCGTGGTTTCTAACTGTCTAACTCAGTATCTATGCAGATCATTTACACTTAGCAAATTCTTGCAGATAAATTAGAGTAAATAAAGAGTCTGGGTTTAAAATAAATGCCACAATCAACTGCTGGTTTCTGTTGCTTACCTTTGGTGCTACATTTATAGCACAACACTGAAGCCAAGGGATAAATGAAAGGCTGTGACTTTGTCCATGCTGACAACCTCCAGTGCTGCCCTGGGGAGGTGTAAGAGGCAGCCCAGTCACATGTACTCAGTGTGACCAGTTCTTATTAGTTTGTGAGAAGTGAGGGTTTGGGTGGATTCCCTTAGCAGCCCTATTGCTGATGCAAGAGAGAGTATTTTTACAGCTTCTGTGCAGTTCCTCCCTCTCCATACTATAAACCCTACAATGCTGCATTTAAATGCTAATTATTGATCAAAGAATAAACCTTGATGAGTTTGTTTGATTTGAGGGGGGAGACCAAAGAATTATTAATAGAAAGAAACTAAGTGAATTTCAGTGATTGTGCACTGTATGATGAGGAGCTAAGTAATTATGTTGTACAAGTAATAAGATTTGTCTGCTAGTGACAGTACAGGAAAATAAACCATAGTCTGCTAAATATATGGTTTTTGGTTTTGGGGTTTTTTTTTGGTTGGTTGGATATTTTTTTTAGTTTTTTGGTTTGTTTTAATTTAATTGTGAAGATGAAAAGCCAGAAGTATATTGGACTGAATCTGAAAAGCTGAATTCCGATGTTGCTGAATTCAGTAGGTTCAGCCATATGCCCTGTGCTTTCATATCTTGTCATTATGCAGAAACAGCTATGAGAATAAATTAGGAGTGCTCCTTTATTCCTATATCCTTTGGTTCTGTCTTTAATTTAAATGTATTGAGTCCTCCTTCATGTTTAAAGATAAGAAGTCACAATAATATAAAAGGCTTTACTAAAAGCGACAAGACACTAATAGAAGCAATTGGAATGACTTCTGTGTTGCTCTGCCTGCATTCAATATCAGCAGCCTTTCAAATGGATATTATGTTCTACAGGTTACTTACATATAATCAACCAGTTTAATGTGAAGTTTTATGTGTAAAATGGAACTTTTTTTCTTTGCTTTTTGTTTGGTTATCTCTTTTTAAAGATTTTTGCTGTTACACATCACAAAATCTTCTGACCTTGTCAGCAGAGAAAGGATGCAGTGCTCTTAAGAAAATATGGTAAGTCTGAGGCTTGTCATATGCAGTGTGTTCAGAGGTATGAAATTGGATTGTGCTGGTAATGCTGTAAGCACCATAACAGTTGTTTGGTCTGTGTGGAGAGAGTTATTAACATGAAATATATGAAATAGTCCAATTCAAATTATGAACAAGTCGCAGTAGCACCTCAGTTGTTAGTGGAAGGATACTATTTAAAAAGAATTATGTGATCTGGGGTTTTTTTTGTTTGTCTGCTTGGGTTTGGTTTTTTTTTTTGTTTTTGTTTTTTTTTGTTTAGTTTTTTCCCTTAACTGTATTTTTTTGTTATAGTGACTGGGATTTACAAAGTGAGTGTTGCTTATACTCACTTTAGGTACTTGATTTTGAAAACCAAAGCAGTTTATCTTGTAAAGACACCTAAACTGTGGAAAATGATTAGAGGAAACCACAAAAATGTGACTTGTCTCCAGTCAAGTCTCTATTTTTTTCCACTGAAGCTTTAGCTGAAGTCTGGAAGTGTTCTCTAAGAGCTTAGCACATATTACTGTGAGACTCACAGGAGAAGGGTTTGTGATCTCTCTTTTCCCTACACCACATCAAGCAAATTGATGAGAGTTGCTCTCTGTGGGAGTTCTGCACAATGGTTTGCTCCCATCAACTGAACCATCATCAGCCTGCTGTCTTTGTGTTAATTTTTAATGGCAGGGATCACTACAAATAGACTTGTCTACCTTTTATCTGTCTCAAAAAAAAATCAATGTTTTATGAATGCATTCATCATTCTGTCATGCTGCTTTTCAGTGGCAGAAACTTGGAGTTGTCAGCAGAAGCACTCCTGTGTACAAACAATAAACCAAGGCGAGAACTAATGGTACAGCTAACCTGGAATTGTGTCTGTGCAGGTTGAGAAAAGAACAGAGTAGAGAGAGGGCAGGAACAAACTTCCACCATGTTGGGCAGAGCAGGACAGTCTGCAGGTCAGCCTGGGCTCAAGAAGCAGAGAGCATGGAGACTGTAGTGATTGCAACATGAGTGAGCCTCTTGCTTGGAGTAAGGGCACCTGTGTGTGGGCTGCTTGCTCAGCTGGGGTTTGCTGGGGCTTGTTTTGTGTGACAGTAAAATCCTTTAGTGGTGGAGGTTGCTGTGATAGTGACTGGGAAGCCACATAAAATGCACACAAGTAAGACATTACCAGCTAAATGCCCCATGGGGGTAACATTTTGGAAGATAATTGCTCTTTTAAGCACCAGACTCTCCTAAGCAAGTTCCCAGAAAATATGAGGTGAGAAGTGAGTGAGGAGAGTGAGAAGACTGCAGGAAATCAGCAAAGAGACAAAAAATCCCCCAAATCTAACAAGTGAGAGTGAATCTGTCAAATAATGCAGATCCAGAAGAGGGTTAGTTATGGGTGTAAAGGATCAATAGGCTGTGGGTTGGCAAGTCCAGCTTTCTGCTGGAAATTGCCTTTAAATCAAAGCATGCAAAATGTCACTTGGAACTGAGACCTGCTGTTGTAAGCTGGGTAACTTTCTCTGTGAGCTTGATGCATGCTTCCAGTCTGCAGGAATGGCTGCACTCAGCTTCCTGGGAAAACACAGCTCTGTGGTCAGCTCTCTGCTTTAAGTGACAGTGGCTGAGAGATCCTGCAATGCTGGCTGAAGGGCACAGGCCATCTGCATTGCTCTGTTTGCTTATTCCCTGCTGTGTCCCTTCCCTGGGGTGCTTTGGCTTCTCCCTGGCACACATGCACTACCTGGAGCTGTTTGCTGGCAAACATTTGTTTGAACAATAGGACACATCTGATTTTCAACCTCACCACCAGAAGATGTGCATAGGAGGGTACTACATCAATTACTTCAGCTATCAATGAGTGGTTGTTCCCTGGTTAAGGAAAGTTATGGTTTTGATTTCTGCATATTTCTGTGATATTCCAGAAAGTGTGGATTCTGTTCTAGCCAGCAGCTAGGTAAAGGAAAACCCATCTGAAAAAGTGACTCCGGTTCTAACAGAGACTGATGTGTCTTGGCTGTTGTCAGTGTGCAGCTGGGAGAAAAAAAAAAAGCTAAGCATAAAAGTATCTGAAGTCTTAATAACTCTCAGAAAAATGAGCAATGTGCAAAGGATTTTTCCCCAGAAAGGCAAACTCTATCATACCTGCAGATGATGTTATCCCAAAGTAAATTAATGAAATGGTGACATTCAGGGAAGGAACAGCTGACAGCTTTGTACACAGCTTCAAGCAGGGAAATGAGTGATATATTTTGGCAGACTTACTTACTTGAAACAGGGACGGCAGAAAATAAAACCATAGTAGACTGACAGAGAGAGCCCACTCACAAGTTGTTTACTGAAATGAAGATACAGCTGAAAGTAATTATTCGTTTCCCAGAGGTATAAGTGATAGTGCCTTGTACAAGAAATAATACTTGGTTATTTCAGTTGGAATGTAAAATAGGATAGAAAGGTTTCCCCTTTCTGAGGTTAGATGCTGGGTATTTTCGCCTCCTTTCAGAAAAGTATGTGTTTATGAATGTAATATATATAACATATGCAGTCAACCATCTATATGCCACTGGCAATTAGGAACTGAGGCAATGTCCAATATTGTTTTCCATTAACAGCCAGGATCTTGCTGTACAGATTCCGATTAAAAGCCTGACTTTGCGGCGCGTAAGATTAAAAATACTCCTTTAAAACAATGTATTTCTGAAGATGGTCCTCTCCTGGCTACAAAATCATCATGAGACACTTGCAGGCAGGACTGCTTGATCTTGAGATTTTAGCTGTGTGCAAACTGTAGTAAAATCACAATTGCATTCAGTGCTAGCTACTCTGTACCTTCTTGCTGAAGAACATTTGTTTTCTGCGTCCTCTCTTCCAGACTGGGAAATGCAGGAAGGCAGCCTGGAAGCTTTTGCAGAGTTTGCCTCAGTGCCATCTCTTCCTAACTGGGTTTGCAGTCAGACCCTCGTTTGCAGCCTCTCTTGCCTTGCCACAGGCCATGGAAAAGGAACCATTGCTTTTTTGGTTTTCCTCTGCTTAAAGACAAGGCTGCTTCTTACCTGTGCCAGTTCAAGTACTGACTTTTTCTTTTCTTCCTCCTTCAGTAAAGTGGGGTGATTCACAAAATCTTCAGAAAGATAGCATTATACACAGTTTATAGTACAAAGGGGGGAAAAAGGTCAGATGAATGAGCATGAAGGAGATTTCTCCTGTGTCCTTTGGAGGAGAAGCAGAAAGATTGGGAATGGTATCTATGCACAGTAGGTGTCTGCCTTGACTACCTGACAATACATGGTCATTGCAAAGGTGAGTCCGAGAATCTAAGAGAAAAGAAACAACAAACAATCGTTTTTCAGTAAGTAAAAAACCCCTATTTATTGATACAACAAGAAAAAAAAGAGAAAAGCATGACACTAGTTTTGTTCACACACAGGAGGACATGTCACATACTGCTTTTCCTGCCTGTTCATGTCCTTGTTCTATTCCTAGAGTCTGTCTGCCTTTTGTCCTTATCTGTATTGCTGTCTTACAGAATGAACAGTAAGAGCAGGGCAGAGTTGATTTCTCCATCAAGATCAGCCACCAGATACTGGGAAGAGTTATATTGGAAAAAATTTGGATGCCTTTTGCTTGAAAATATTTTATTGTAGCAATCCACAGTTGTGTGGGTACTGTGGGTATCCCTGTAGCTGTTGTTTTGAAAGACATTGGGTTAATCCCAGGCCCTACAGATGCTGTGGTTTGCTTGACTGTATTTTACTTTTCCAAGTGTATGTGAGCACAGGTCCCTGTGGGGGAATCACTGGAGACTGAACATGCATTAATCATGGCCATCAATGCCTCATCAACAATGGATGTGTTTTTCTACTCAGCCTATTCAAGAGAAGCAGCAGGGACTTGAAGGTTCTTCTCCCAGCCAAGCACTGACCTGTTGTGATGCCTCTGGTAGATTACTTCATCAAAAGGGGATGGGGGAGAGAGTTTTACTTTCCTTCCAGCTGGAGTACTTACATGAATGTACTAAGTGCTTGTTACTTTCCCTTTGCAACACCACTGCAAGATTTACCACTGAAATGAAGGTCTGCCAGGTAGAAAATTTTAGTGTATGAATTCTGTTTTATGCACTCAATTTTACCACTTCAAATTTAGTCTCTACATGAATAATAGTTCCTGTTAATGAGTACTTTGAAAGAATATATGAATATGCATATACATTATTATATTTATGAAGAAAAAAATGGTTATAAAGCTGTTAATCTTCCTCAACTCTCACTCTTCCACAGTGAAATCAGATTATTAATCAGATTATTTTGGTGTGCTGTTTATAGCAAGCAGTGGCCTTTGGGAAGTATCCCCGAACTCTGCCTTCTGCTTCCTAGCAAAGGAACACCTTCGGGGACAACAAAACGGTGGTGGGCTAAACTTGGTTTATCATTTGAAGCATGCACAACTGAAGAAGATTGTTCTGTTGCATGTGCTGTATGTCCTTCCAATTATGTCACTCTAAGATTCTATGAGATGTTAACATGAAATACTGTCACATACTGTAGGCTAGAACAAAACTGAAACAGCAGCAAAAGAGGGAGCCCAGCTCATTTCAAGTGACAGTGCACAGAAACTTTTGTCATCAGGTAGATTCAATCACATCAGGCAGCTGGAAGGCAAACTGAAAATCTGTTGTGTTCTGAGGTGTTTTCCCTGCATTGCATACATTTACTAGGAATATGAATTTGCATTTTTAAATTGTCTGAAGTGTTTCCTCCCATGCAAATTAACGATGTCTTTCTGTCAAAAATATAGTATTGTCTTAGAACTTTATTATATTTAGAGTATTTATGAGAAGGACTCTGACCATGGGCTGCTGGGGGTTTTTTGTGTATCATTTAAAGATACCCTAAATGCTGAATGGATGCCCAAAAGCTGTTTTGGTTTTCTTTAATTATGGTAATATATTAACAACAGTCATAAATTGTCTGTCTGCCATATGATTTTGTGCTTTTTTTCTCTAAGCATATCGGCTTACCATACTGGAACAAACCCCAAAACTCTACTGAATTTGGGTCTGTGAGGCATCAGGCATTTGCATTAATAAGCTGCAGCCAATACATGACATATGAGAGAGTAAGATACATGCCATTCTGCCTAATCTGTCATTAGTGGGAATGTGAGTAGAATACTGATCCCAGACTCTGTCTTGCTACTGCTAGTGGCATACCAGGAAAAAATAAACCAAACCGAACAACCATGGGTTAATCTGTAGTTTCATGGTGTTAATTAGGTTAGCAATGCCATCCTTTGTGCCTGCATGTTGAGTGTGAGAGTGGGGGAGCTGGAAACTAAAGCTAGATGTTCACTGAATTTAGGAAAGGGACTTTGAAGGAGCCTGAGCTCCAGCACAACTTTCACCTGTGTATCCTTGGGCTGTGCCACTGGTGCTTAGACTGTGGCACAACCACAGCAGGCTGGGTTAAAGGCACAGGCACCTAAGAGACAAAGTGGTGGACAGATTCTTCTCTGACCAAAGTCATGGGGGAAAGAACTGCAACTCAAAAATCTGATAGGCAAGTCTATGCCAATCATACTTACTGAGTTTCTCTCCATTAATAGCAAGGGAGCATAGCAGGGTTGACTAATGGGCACCACGTCTTGATTTGTAATTTACCCTGGGCCTGAGGAATGAGGTTGAAGACTTAAGCTACCTCTAAACTATGCTGAAGTTTGATATTTAGCCTAAGTCCCCTCTGGAGAATAACTGGACAAATAAAGGCACCCTAAAGGCAGTTCATCCTACCCTGATTATGTGTCTGGAGTCCAGTCTCCCCTCATAAGTCCAGTTTCAGTCTTAAATAAACCACTTGATAAAGTGCCAGCTCTTTGCCGTGCATCATAAACCACTGTGCAGTGTTCCTAGTTCTGTGCCTTGTACACAGTATTTTAACTAAAGTAAAACACAAAGTACTTAATAATTTTGCATGATGGTAGAGGAAAATCATGCAAGATTAAAAACCTGCTTGAGCAGAGCATATATCTGAATCTATGGTTACTTAGTTGCAATTAGTTAGGCTTTGAAAACTGATATTAAACTGTACCTGCACCATAGCTGTGCACAATCCAAAGATTCCCACTGCCAGTAAGTTTTCCTGGAGCCATATTTTCACAGTTTCATAGCAAGGCTAAAAAAAAAAACCAAACCAAGAATATTGTATTAGCCATAAATATAGTTCTACTCTCCCTGGAATATGCAGCCACAGAAAAAATGGATCTGACCTAGCTGCTAGGTAGCCTGTATTATCTTTTCTATGCTGGAGCAACTACAATGTATTTTTGGGTTGAAGCTTGAACATGGAGTACTAATCCCAGTGACACAAAAAAGTGCACCTCCAAAATGCCGTATGAGCAGTGCTCCATATAAATTCAGCTAGTAACTAAAAATACTGTGCTGGTTTTGGCTGGGGTAGAGTTAATTTTCTTCACAGTGGTGGGTATGGGGCTGTGTTTTGGATTTGTCCTGAACACAAGGTTGTTATCTGGAGATATTTTTGTTATCATTAGGCAGGGGTTACATAGAGCATGGTTTTTGGTTTCCCTATTGAACTGTCATTATCTCAACCCACTCTTTTCTCACTTTTACTCTTCTGCTTCTCCCCTTGATCCCACTGGTGGGAAAGTGAGCAGGCAGCTGTGTGGGGCTTAGCAGCCAGCTGGGGTTGAACTACAACAAATAAACAAGCACTGGGTTTGGGTCCTCTTTGCCCTCTAAAACCCTACCAGAAGCAGTTAGAACCTCACAACGAGGCTTTCATTTTCTCAAATTTTAGGGAAATAAACCCTTCTTATAATACATACAAACACACAAAACCAAACAGTCCCAGTGCAAGTGGCTCAGTAGCTGCTCCTGCTGCACGTGGGCCCATTTCATGTCATTTTCCACCATTTCAAACTGCAGTATGGGCACTCCTCCATTGTTTTCTTCCTTCTTTAAATTCTGCAATAGCTCTGTTTTACTGGTCTAGTTTTGGGGAGGGTGGAATTGGCCCCTGTGAAACCTTTCTTTAAATAATAATGTCTGTAAGACAGCCTTGTGCACAAACAGTGTCTCCCTGTCTTGTAAACGTTCATAGCCAAGAATCATTCAGCCTTCAGTTAGGCACTTTTACATATGTATAAAGGAATAACTATTAATGCCCATCAGAAGCCAGGGGCTTAACCTGCACTGATTTTCTTGCTATCCTGAATAAAATAGAAGAACTTTTCAGTCCTTAAATTAAAAAAAATTACCTGAAGCTACTCAAGAAGTATAAGGAAGCTGTGTTTGATGCGAACTCAGCCTCTGTGAGCACCAATCCATGCATATGAAATCTCACTAGAAAGTGGCCGAGAGCTTTACTCATTGTCTTCACAAACCATTAGAACCACTAAAACATAGTTATAATTCCACTTCATCAGGTGGCCTTACTCCACATCCCTCCTGTGTAATTGCACTACCTGTAATTAGCACAAAGAATTGCTGAGCTAATTTCAGAGACATATTTAGGCTCTGACTATCTGTTCCAGAAAGATCTTGCTGAGGCCACTGTAGGGAAATTATCCCATGGAGTTTTGAATTTGATTACGGGCAAGTGCAGAAACTCAACAACAAAAAAATGCTGCTGGCAACTCAGTGGAACAGTTCCCACTTTTCCGTGCAGTGGAAACCCCAGAATGAGAACTCCTGGTAGGAGAAGAGTGCTCAAGGTTCTCACAGTTCTCTTGCCTCAGAACTGCCGGGGCTGTGATAAGCTACAGCTGCTGCTCCAGGGCCTGTGTGTGCATGAACCATTTGCCTTTATTGCTACCTGACCCCAGTAGGTGGGACACTAAAAAGGACATTCCTGTCATTTCCTAGCTGGATGTCACTAGTCTGTGCTGCAGATCAGTGTTGGAATGGACCTGTCTGCAATGGGAAACAACAGCTTAGCGCCTACTGAAAGGAAACCAGCACATAAAAATAACTAAATAGGGGGTTTCATTGGAGGTCAAAGGCTACAACTCAACAGGAGCCTTCTGAAAGCACCTGATTAAAGGTGAATTAGGACTGATGAATGAGGTGCACAGCTTATCATCTGTGCAGTCCTGCGCATGACTACCTGCCCGTCCTTCACCTGGGCTGCAAGGCTGCTGCTGCCCTGTGCTGCAGAGCTACTCACCGCTTTCCACCAGGTCCCTGGGGAATGGAGCCCGCAATTCTCACTGAATTCTAAGCAGCAGGAGTCTGGCACCCGGGTTGTGTTGTACACTTCAAACCAGTCCGTGTAGTTGGAGACTCCACAGCATCTGAACTGGAAAAAGATGAACCGAGGTGATGCCGTAAGTGTGACCCGTCACTGACTGCCTGTTCTGACTTTGCCTCCTGGAGCTTGACACTCAGTGCATTTTGATTATACCAGCAGAGGCTTGAAAATTTAAAGAAATAACAGTACTTTCTCAGCATTGTCCAAACAGACCCTTTTCTCCACTCTTTTGTATTATGTTTAAATATAGCCTTGTAAGCAGGTAATGTTGATGCAAGAAGCAAAGGCCCCTGTTTACAGTGGAAGGGTACTGCAGGAGCTGAAACTGGACAACCTGAGACAAATACTGAAAATGAGTTATTGACTGATCAGAATTGTAACAGTTGTTTGCAGCTTGTCAGGAAAAAAGATAAGGTACAGCACCCAAGAGATGAAGATACTGGGATCTCTACAGCACACTACTCCTGGGATCATGATTGAAGTAAACAAGGAAAATTTCTCAGTAAGCTGTTAATTACTAATCCACTTTGAAAGTTTTTGCCAGCCAGCAAAAGATGTATTTCCTCCTCTGTGGTGCAGTTCTGTAATGTCATCATCTGAGGCTGCTCTGATAGTTGTGCCTTAAGTGCCTGCCTACAATGACACAGTGTGTGCAGAGATCACAACACTTCTAAATCGGAAGGAATGTTTAACTTTGGTAGTGGGATGCAAGGTACAGAAGCACACAGTGGTGCAGGGAATGGCTCTGTGGTCATCTTCCCCTTGGGAAGTGGTATATTTGTGTGAGAGGAAATAAGCTAGGACTCATTACCATATAGATGTATACACCATCTGTCACTCCTATGCAAAAGTATGAATTTGTTGGTATTTAGACACTTCAGCACAAATTAGTAGAACAAGGCAACACTGGACTGCAGAACTGCTCTCTGCTATTCACAGTACCTCACACTTTTTCAGGCCTATGCCAGCCACATACATAGTCCCAAAATTACTTGCCATGATCTTATTTTTTCAAATGTGATTTTATATAAGACTGAAAAGTATTTTTTGCATCTCTGTAGGGACCATTTCTCTTGTTTCTGAGAGACTCGTAATCATGCAGAAATCTGCATCACCAGGGCCAAAGACCTAATTGAGATCCTGATGTTTACACTGGCTTGAAGGAGAGTTTTCCTTTATTATGTAACAGTTGTAGAGGCTGTGGTAGTTATTCAGGCTGTGGTAGAGTTCTGTTCAGGTCTTGTTGCACACACAAAATGTGCCACTCCAGACCCATAGAGGGCAGAGGTGTCACACGCTGCCTCATGCATCATATGGATGCTTCAAGCACTCAGAAAGTACTCCTTGATAGAGATATTTCAGTGTTCACAGCGAAGTTTTTCTTCTGTCAAGGAAAAGTCAGAAAACTTTCCTGGACTAACATCTATCCCTCCAAGTTTCTGCTCCTAATTTCGATTTGGTCTGTGGCAGGACTCAATCCTCCACTTGGAAATGTTTGATTTGTAAGTTTACAGGCTTCATTTTCTACAAATTGACATGAAACTAGAAAAAAAATTTGTGCCTTTCTTTTTTTTCCTCTATGTTCCTGCACAGAAAACAGGAGGTCCATGTGTAACAGGTCCCAAAAGCGGGTAGGAGCAGCCTGGAACACATGGCATGCATTTGAGGAAGGCTGGTTTATTTGAAAATCTAACAAGAAGAAGGTCTTGCAGGCTGTCATCATTAGAGTCAGGAGGCAGCTCTTTGATAGACAGTGAGAAGTGACAGCTTGTAAACAGCAAGCCTTAAAAATGTGGCTCATCTGTGATGTAGAGAGTGCAGCAGCAAGGGCTGAGACATTTGAGTGATGTTCTGGCCAAACACAAGTGACACAAGTTTGCATAAATCAGAACTAGGCTCCTTCTCCCTACAATAATGCATGGCTGAAGGTGTCAGTCTGACAGACTAAGGAGATGAAGATGAAGCATGGGTTTTGTAGCCAAGTGCTCACTAACAGGTTGAGGACAGCTGCTCCTATGAAGCCTGTGAAGCAGAAGGTGACTAGGCCATGAGCTAGGATTTGAGACTCCAAAGAGTAAAAATTCCTGGTAAACCACAAGGTGAGAATAGGAAGGGATGCAGTTGCAAAGATGAGCTGCAGATGGACACAAACTGCCTGCCCACAGAGATTCTCTGTACCAGAACACAGCAGACACAGCCATGGGAGAATGGGCTAAGAGAAGTTCAAGGTATAAATAAAGGACATAACACAGGATCAACAGTCTTGGGACTGGAAGAAATAGTATCTGTAACTATAATATTTTGGAAGACAAAGGAAGGACGAGCAATGGGATTATGCAGTGGATGATCCATAGCCCTAATCAAGAGGAGCTGATGAAGACATCAGAATTCTAACACCACAGAGACCTGAGCGCAGAAGCAAGTGAGGGAGCACTGCTCAGTGAAGGCCAAGTCCCATGCCTGGCATCTCCAGGGAGCAGGGGCATTGGTCCATGCACAAAGATGCAGGAACGAGGAAATGAGCAGCAATGGGATTGAATGGGCCACCAGTTCAGATTCAGCAAAGGGGTCCAGCTAGAAGCCAGAAAGGCAGATAAACTGAGAGTTCAGAAAACTCAGAGCTCTCACTATGGATGTCTGAGTAGAAGAGATAGAGTGCAGGAGTGATTTTGGATCATGTGACAAGCAACTGATTTATCCCAGGTTGATGCAGCTGAACAGTAAGCAGACAAATTGGTGAGAGAGATGAGGGATCATTAGAAGAAAGGGGAATATGGAGGACTTTTTTTAGACTCCTCTTAGATTTGAGAGCAATGTTCTCTCAAAAATTGGCAAGGTTTCTAGGCAGGGGTAGTTGCAGATAGGCCTACACCTGGAGTATGGAGAAAGCTCAGGGCACATGAAGGATTATGTCTGTCACCAGCAGTTTGTTGTACCCAGTTCTACCACAAAGGTTGATGTTCTGCGAAGGCCAGGCATGAAAGCATTGAAAACTTGATTCTTGCCACAACTACATTCATTTTTTGGTCACATTTACACTCCTGTCTTGTTCCCTTCACAAGTTAAATTATAAGATTACACAAGGTTGCCTGATTGCTTAGTTCTGTTCCTACTTTGAACACCTACATTTTTTAAAAGAATTACAAACTAAAACTAGCAGTGCTTATTTTGGGGTACCCAGACTAACACACCTTAAAAGGAGTATTCTATTAAAAAGTTTCTATCTCAGTGCAACTCCTGATAAGGAGTTGGACACTTGTACATATTTTACAGGTAATCCCAATACTGAAGGCTAAGTAGGCCTTATCTTTGCCAAATTCCTGCAGACTCAGTCAGGCTGGGATAGGGTTTGTGGAAATAAACAGGTATTTAATCCTAGTTGCAGTGTTTTAGCAATGCCTTGTTTTCTGGTTTTGTGAACGGGGCAAAGAACTAAAGACAGGGGGCCTTCCATACACCTTTTTCCTCCATCACTGCAAAATAGTGAATAATATAGTTTTGTTCTAAAAATCAAGTTTAATGGGTGGTTTGGATTACTTCAGCATTAATTCTTAAGTATGGCTTGATCTAATAGAATCAGTGACCGGGAAGAGGGAGATGGGTCAAATTTCTTCTCAGTTACAGTGGTCTAAATAGACATGAAAAGGCATTACACAGCAGCAAAAGTGAGCTGAATTTGCTCACTTTAGTGAAGCTAATAGGTTTTCTGCATGCCTCTCAAATTACTGCCTGGTTAGTTAAAAGTAGAAGTGCTCAAATATTGATCACAAAGATGTTGGGGATGAAGCAACATTTTAAAAATTAATGCCTGTTTCTCATTTTCTAATGATCTCCACCTGTGACTTTAACCAGTCCTGGTGGGTAAGGGGTTTAATGCAGTTCAGGGTAACTTACCTCCTGAACTATTAGAATTTTAGTCATGTTTGAAAATCACTTTGTAAGCTTTCGTAGTCTTCAGTCACGACACACAGAATTCATCTGCTTGTGTTTCTGATCCTTTTAAGGTTTGAAACGCTATTGAGAAAGGCTGAGAGTTTGGTTAGCTGAAGGTATTAAAAAGAAATCAATAGAATGTTCTGATTTGAAACAGCTCCCTGACCTAGAGGCTTACTAGGACTGCAAAATGAGTCTACTGCCTTTCCTCTCATACACTTTGCAGGTTTGCAGCTTAACCCAGCTCCTTTATCGGTAACATGACCAGCTCAGGCATCAGCCAAAACTGCAACTTCTTTTTAAAGACAGGCCCTGTTTCTTCCTTGTTTCCAGTTTCTTGAAAATGGTAGGCTTCTGTTAAAAAGAGGAAAACCATTTCTCAAGGCACAAAGGCTTCGGAAAAGAAAACCTTCCTCAAAAGGTGCTCAGGTCTTTCACGCTCAGACAATCACCACTCACAAGTCGCTGTGTGCATGGGCATACACACTCCCAGTCAAAACTCCCCTCTGATTTGTGACTGGCCAGTCCACAGAAATCATCTAAATGGGGTTCCTTGGAAAAACATTTTCCTCCTTTTTTCAGCCAAAGCTGCCATACACAGTAGTACCTAATGAATGCAGGATGGGGATGATCTCTATCTAAGTAAATCTTGGGAGAAATTAAGAACTATGCCAGAGTGTCTAAGCTACTGCTTTAACCACTGCTCAGGCTCTGAGAAATACTTTTACAAAGAAAGGAGTGCAAATGCAGAGGGGACAAGGGCTCATTATGATTTCTGTTACTGGCATGTTTTTTACATGGCGCTTTTTTTTTGTGAGGCTGCTGTTTTCCACATAGAGACACAGGCCATGGCTCAACCAGTAACTAATGTCTCCCATTAGGAAAAACACTGTCCTATATGGCAACGTGGTTGTTCTACTGTGGGTGTTGTTGAGAGCCTTAGGAGACAGAATGCAAACAGCAAGCCTGGGCTGGGACTTCCCTTGAAGAAAATCCCCTGTATTGCTGTAATCCTCCAATCAGTGATTACACTCTACTGATTAGGGATGTAAGACATAATGATTATTACACAAAAACCCCCCAAGTTGGCATTTAGATAGCTCTATTCAACTGCAAAGTGTTTTACATAATTAACCATGATGGGATTGTCTTTGCTGCACCTCTGTAATAGTCTATTCCCACACAGTTTTGAAAGATACATGCGAGAACCAATTATGCAAAGTGGCAAAAATGGATCTTTGGGAGCTCTTCCCCGTTCTCCTCAGTGCCCAGCATGGGGAGCACAATGACTTTGATGCTATGGCACTGCCAGGCTGGTACGTGGTAATTTCACAGTGGCCATGAGAGAGTGATGTCCCCTGGGGATGGCATTTTCTTGTCACCTTTTGAGCTCCTAGGAGTTAGCTAACATGAGTTTCATCTGAAACCTGTAAGGCACTCTTTAAACTATAATGAGTTTCAAGACCAAAGGACTTATCAGGACAAATGACTGTGATCTGCAGCACTACACAAACCACAGACTATTGAGTCCTGCCTCAAACCTAAGCTGGTCATGAACTGTGACCATTTCCTTTAAGCAAAAAGCCAGGTCTTATTCTTTAGAGAAAAAGAATTTACTGTGTACAACAGCATCCTACCACTTGATATGTCTAACTTGAGATTTAAGCTCTTGGATCAATTACAGAGCCCTTTTCTCTCACAACCCTCTTTCCTTCCTGCTCTCTTTTTAAGGACTGCAATCACATCACTACTTCATCTTTGCCTGTTTAAGTAAGGCCTTTAAAATTTCTCACCATAATGTCACTTTCCAAAATCCTTAATATTTTTTTACATCTTTTCTGGATCCAATCCAATTGTGAAGCTTTTGGAAAAAACGTGACTATATGAACTAGACATTGCATATATTGTTACACCTATTTTACACAAAGGGGAGCAGAAGTATGGTGTCTACATCCCATAAGTCTTCCAAAAACGTTTTCCACCACCTTTGCTATATGCTTTTAAGTTACTGGGGTGTCACTGAAAGCAGATCAATACTTACTGCAAGCATTTTAATAATAGTAGTTTTTACTACATTTTTACTACACATAATTAAGTTACTGTAAAAGAGTAAACTTTCTAATACTGTTGGATATAAGCAACGATATTAAAAATTTTATCTATATTTCACACATCTTACTCTCAGGTTAGCCCCACATAACGCATTTCTCTTGTCAGTAATTGATGCCTTCTCATATTTGATGTATTGGAAAAAGGAAAAAGTATTGGAAGAGGAAATTATTAACAGTATTTTAGAATGCTGAGACCTTTCAAAGGTAACTGAAAGAACTCTTCATGTGTAGTTGTTTGGATGCAGGACTGAAATTGGCCTGTTTGCTGGACCTGAGCTGTCTTTGACACACAAGTGTGTTGTAGGCAACCTACTGCACTCAACACAGACAGGTCCTGCAGACCCAAAGATGTACAAGGAGTTTGGCCAATCAGTCCTTTTGTTCTGATAATGATCTCAAATTTTTAATTTCTCAGATCATTTCTTAGAGGTCTATTGTTCCTGTTACCTTGTATTGTCTAGAAGAGAAGACTTTGGGAGCACTGGGAGAGGTTACTGTCTTTGATCCATTCAAGACATCAGACAAGACTAAACCCCTCCTGTCTGTACCACACTTGCATCTCTAGAAGAGAAACTGAGAAAGCTATGCAAGATATTTTGAAGTCAAGGCAGTGTAAGTGCTTCTGCCTAAAGCAGAAAAGCTGGAGCACTTTTCCATTCAAGAAGCAGAGAACATGAAATCAAGAAGATCACCCCCAGGAGAACTGACTGAACTGAATATGAAACAACAAGTACAGAGCTAATAAACCTGAACTGTCAGCGATGGTGTTACCTCAGACAAGGACAGGAGGGGGAAGCCAGCTACAATGTTCACCAGTCCTTAGCAGATGAACACTGGCAGAGGGCTGTCAGAGAATCATGACAAAGGAACAATTGTGTTGCAATGACAACACAGCAAAAAGCATTCCCCGTCCACCTGTGATGGAGGATGATTGCATTCTGCTGGGGAAGAAGTACTGACTGTAGGAGGAGGTTGCAAACACCATGGTCTGTTTCCATTTTGACTCACTGCTACTACAATAGTAGCAGTGAAAGGAGACAGGACAGAAATGAAAAAGTGGTTGAAGAGGGTCTTTGCTATCATGCTACTGCTCTTCATCCCAACACAAGCCACCCCTTTGACTTCAAAGAGAAGGTACTGCTTGTTTCCTGTCTGACCAGCTCCTTCGCCCTCCACATAGCACAGAACTGCATGATATTTAGGCATCAACTTAATATAATCTTCTTAAAGGAAGAAGATATTTCCTGCCAAAGGAGAAATAAATAAAAATTACTATTTGTTACAAAAAGCAGAGAGTTTAGTTGCTAATGTGCTGACTGGGTGGGAGAAAGAGAGTGGCTTGGGATTTGGAGGTATAATTAGGTTCACGCCCAAAACATGCTGTTACAGAACCCAGAAGGTAAAGAGGAAGAGGTAAAAGAGAGAGCTCAGACTTACATCTGTTTGAATGATGCTCCATGCATTAGTGAGGCCAATATTTCCATCTGTCCCATACAAGTGAAGTCCTTTCTTCAGATCCCGTTGAGCATACTTGTCAATCTAAAACCAAAAGCACAAGACACAGAACTTGAAATTTGCTGAGTATCACATTTCAGAATCGAAGTGCACAGAACATAGAGATGCTGGACAATGGTCCTGTACTGAAATCAATAGAAGTTTAACCAACACTTTGTAAATAACATGAGGAGTTCCTCTTCTGAGTTCATGTTCCTGTTTCCCATCACAGAGACCTTTAATACATCTTTTCCCTTCTCACATAACTATCAAAGTACTACAGGGAGACTGGATGCAGTTTAACCACTCATTTTTGCAAATAAGCCTATCCATGAAAACATTAATCTACACACAGTGTTTCCTTTTAGCTTACTATCTTTAATTGTGACCAAGTGCATTAATGTGTACCCTTCCATACTGGAAAACAGACAGACATGGTGTATTCCCTAGTGATTGCCCCTCTGGAACTCATCATTCCAACAGGGGGAGGCGTGTGTCTAAAACAATATAAGCAATGCTAATTTTGAGTTAACAGAGGCAGCAAAGGTATTCTGCTTCTGCCATACACTTGGGCTTTACTTCTGCTTTGTGCAGTCAGAATTGTTTTCTTGACTGCAGCTGCAAAAAAGGTGGATGAAAAGAATCTTGTGGAGTGTAAAAGAGGAATTTTCAACCCTCTACATCATAATTATTATGGGGAAAATATTAAGTTACTCAACAATACGACTCTACAAAAATACTATGACCTCAAAAGCTCACCAGGAAGCTTCTGCTATATGTGCAAAAGATTGTGCTTGATCTGTCCAGTTCTTTTTCTTCCTTCCTGAAAGTTTACCAGCATCATGTTGAACCAGCAATAAAAGAGCTTTGAGGCAGTACAAGAAACAGCACAACTTAATCTCAGCACCTTAACTATCATGCAAGGCCTTTCTCACAGATGCCTTCCTTGAACAGCAGGTGCTGTGATCCCCCATAATTATCAGTAAGCTGCTTTTGGCTTTACACAGAGATTATATGTAGTCACTAGTACATTAATTAGAACACCAAAGCTGAAAGCTGTCATTAAATTTGGAATTAGTTGAGAAAATTACAGGCAATAAACTATAAACTTATATGTGTTGGGGATTCCTAGCATTCACTTAAGAATTAGATTGAACTGTGTTTGAGCTCTGCCCTTACCCTCAGCTCCCTGTGTCTCAACTGGATGTGCTGTGGTCTCCAGCAGAACCATCAATTAGGACAGAAGGGCATGGTTGTGATGCCAGTCTCAGAGAGGCTTGGAAATTTAGTTAATGTGCTACAGAGGCAGTGAGGTAAATTAATTGTTGAAAAACTAATTCTTATTCGGAAACTGACCAAGGTTAAGAGGAACAGGGTAACTGAGGGCAGGTGGGGACACAAATCCAGCTAGGTGATCATTACCTTGAAGATGAAAGAGAAAGGTTTATTTTTAATATTAATTTTTCTCACCTGAGAATATCTGCCCTGAAGAGTGAGAGAGCTACACACCAGTCTTAAGTTCATATCAGCACTAATATGGAACAAGGGATAGAAAAGTGATTCTTATCTGAAGGGTAAATGCCATGTTAACAAAAGGATGCAAAATGCAAAGTTTGCATCTCCTCATTCAAGTTTTGCTTTGCAACCTTGACATCCTATTTGAGATGGATACTAACATCATGATAATTTATTAACTAACCATTCATAGAAGATGAAGAGCAAAGTTTTGTTAGTCCATGTGTGCTTTAACGTGGTCTCAAGAGATTGTATCACCAAGGATTTCTGATCTGCTTTCTACCTGGGGAAGACTCACTGAAGCAAAATGAAAGCAAGTCCTCTCTTCCTCATAAAATTAACCACTTCTCCTGCTCAAAGAGTGCAAGGCCTTTATACTGGGAACACAGCTGCCATCAGATTTCTGTATTTCAGAAACTAAGTAACCAGCAGAGCATTAGTAAAGAAAACAGGCACTATGTGACCAGTTCTCCCATTGCTATTTCAGAAAGCCTCAGCATGAAGTCCTGCACATGGTATGACCCATCATTATTTGTTGTTTCAAAAATAAAATGCCTATTAAAAAATCTTGCTTAGAAGAGGATGTAAGTTTTTTTTAGAATCCCGCACCACACGTGTCTCATTTCCTTATCTCTCCTCTCATCTCTTCGCAAGCTGAAACTTTGAAAGAGGCAAACATGTTGTGGAACAGTATGGCCAGATTGTTTTACCTTTTTATTTCATGTCCACTGACAGGGAGGGCATCTGGAAATACCAGTTTTACACATATACACACACAGAGAACTTTATATTGATTTGAGTGATGGCAAAGGTAGGATTTTACACAGTTCTCTTTTACTGAAGTTTCCATCTGACCTTCTGATCAAGTGTGCTGTACGTACAACAGTGTGCTACCTTCTGAAGAGCAGCTGATTTTAAGTCTCCTTGTCACAGAGCTACTCCTTGAAGCATTCATACTCTTCTGTTTGCTTACACTAGGGTCAGAAAGGTGTTGATCAAACCCCAGGAATAAGCTTGAACAGAACAGCCTGGTTTGTGGGTGGCTACTGGGCTCCAGGAGAAATGGGGAACAGGGGTTGGCCCTTGGCCTCCTGGAACTTGTGTCTGCAGTTGAAGTACCAGCAGGAAGCCCCCCACCCTCTGTTTCCATTTGTTATTGTTGTGTTACCTTGCATGGATTAATCAGTGTTGACGTAGCCTTGGACTTCCTAATTAAACCGGAGCACTGCTCTCGCTCCCACTGTGAGGAGCTCAGTCTCTACGTGCAGTCCTATTAGAAGCACACTGACCTCTGCTCAAATAACCTGTGTGCAAGGTTATAAGATGGATATTTTTCCCCCAGTTGAAGCACCGCTTGAAGCTCTAGATGTGAGATTCCTACTGGCTTTGACTAGAGGGGGATAAGTAAAATCCAAGGCCTATTTGTGGGGCATAGCTGGCAAGTGCTCCTCCAGGTCCTCCTGTTTCCTTCTACCCCCAATTTTTTTCCTTCCTCTAAATATTTTTAGAATAACAGGAACTTTTCAATATGCCTTTATTCTAATTGTAAGTTTGATTTAAATGAAAACTCCCAAAACACCCCCAGCTGTCTCTTCTGCCTTTAATTTGAATTTTTCAGAAAATGATCTTTCTGAAAATGAAATGCTGCGCTGCAGTGATTCATCACATCTCCTGACAAATGATCCTACCCAATATTCACCAATCTGTCAGCTTCCCTTATTTATCTCTGAGCTACCAGTCCTCAGCCAGGCAAAATGTCTATCTCAAATCAGGACTGAAGTAATATATTTAATATTCTGCAATTTGAATCTGCTGCATTCTTCCATACACAAGCCAGGCCCTTCACAAATCACAGCTCTAGTGAAGTAGCAGAAAGAAGAATAACAAAAACTCTCTGCAGGCAAACTGTTGCTCTAAATGAGATGCCTGTTTTTAGACATGTGCAATACCAGAGATTTCTTTAGACAAAAGGGTTTCTGAAAGATTTGGCAGCAAGAACCTTTCATCAATCTGTTAGTGAAGAAGAGAAAAAAATCTTTTCCTCCTTGGGATTCATTGGTCAACAGATGAGAGGGGAAAGCTTGAAGCTGGCACACCATCCATGTAAATTCCTGTAAGCCCTGGGTTTAGACATACTGGAGCCTTGCCCATGCTCATCAGCCCCAACAGGTTCCAGTGGTGTTTCTGGTAGGGTAAATGTGTCCCAGTATGGTGATCCATTACAATCCATACCTACAAGAGAAGCACTTCTTAGAGCAGGGCATGCATATTGCTGCCCTTTATCTAAGCTAAGATCCTGCTCCTACTGTAAACAGTGGCAATACTTTCTCACTGACTTCCATTAGGCCCTAATAGGGCACTTAAATCTCTCACTGTCCTATTACAAAGACTTTCTAAAAATATATATATATATACTGATCTAAGGTGGCCAGGTCATGTGCAGAGAGTTTCAGGTAAAGAAGGAAACTCAGTATCTGAACTGAAGAAGGGAAAGCTACAAGAGATGTGGCAGGACTGGAGAGAACCTGCCACAGAGGTCAGGAAAAGTTGCCAGAAGCTGGATGTTAGAGAGAATGGGCAAGGATCCATCTGAGCCTCACCTAAACTACAGCCAGGACAAAAGATTGCTCAAAAAAATCTTACTCCAGCCTGCATATAAATCCAGGCCAAATTAAAGTGTTTCCTTCTTAACCTGTGTTCCCATGAGGCAGCTACTTAAGCTGTAGCAATGTACACACAAGGCTGCTTTTACTGTCAGCTTTGTCCCCTCACTGCCTCAGAAATCCAGAGCCTCTGAGCAGAACTGTGGCTGGCTGGCTGACAAGCCCAGCTGGAGAAGGCAGCACGCTTCAAGAGGACCTGGGGCTGTCAGACTCTACCCTGTCTCCTTGAATAAGACAACTTAAGAATAATTGAGGATGAGATAAAAACTGTAATATTAAACAGAAACAACTAAACTTCTGCTTAGCACAGACATGCTGAAAGCACTACATGAACATTCTGCACTGCAAACACCCAGGTTTATAATTAATTCCATCTCTGTTTTACAGATGGGGGACTGCAGGGGCTTTCTCAGTTCCTGGGGGTGGTTTCACAGACCTCTCACTCTCTGTCTAAATGAAGGGCTTTAGAGTTTATGTACTTACTGCTAAGGCACGAAACAGAAGACAAATACTGTTCCCTGAGAAGCCCAGTCCTGTAATTTTGCTGCTGATCAGCGGGAGGAAGTGCTTTGAGGAAAACGTCTTGGGCAAACAAGAGAATTGTGTCTGTGCAGAACTCGGGTATTACCAGTATTTACAGCTAATATGACGCAAAACTTTGATCAAACTGAAGCTCCAGCAATACCGAAGGCATGAAGTCCTTCCCCCTGTCCCAGCACACGGAGGGGGAAGGTGGCTTTGCTGTAATCTTCTCTGGAATAAAGGTCAAAAGAAGGCTTTGGGGAGATCCTTATTAACTCCTTTTGAACTTGCTGAAAGCGTGAGATGTCACTTAGATTGGGCATAGCGTTTAGGAAAAGGCCAGAG